GAAAATGTCGGTTACGAACGTTTGGGATCATAAAAAAAATATCGGGTCCTACTTTCCCGTCTGTCCCTTTTCTTTATCTCGCATTATTCGTTCGATGGCTTTTTTTTTTCCCCCCTCCTCGCATAAACTTTAAAGAAATATAAAACAAGAACAAGAACAAGTAGAATAAAATAAATAAAGTAAAAGTAAAATAAATTAAATTAAACTAAAAACCATATGATTTTCTCGCATCATGATTAATTCTTATTTTATTAGATTAAATCACATCAAACTTGTTTTCTTCCTAACCGAAAACCCCATCCATACCGACTCGATCGTACTGGCCGACGGAAATTAGAAAATGGAGATGGGTAACGTTATATATGCAGCAGAGATAGCAAGGATTATAATGATAATGACAATCTCTCTCTCTCTTTCGCTAGAGTCCGAACGGTATGGGTGAAAACGGCGCAGTCTGCCGAACTGTTATAATAGTACGAAATTTGTTATGTATTAAGATCTTTGTGCAAAAAAAGATAATGGTTTAGGTTATTAACTTGGGAATGTTATTGGACCGTAAAACGTTGTGGGGACAATTATTAATTTCTCATCATCTGTCTTGGCCCCAAATACCATATTAACTAGTCTTCATTCGATCCTGTGACCATTTGCAACCAAAAACTCTAAACAGTAGCCCTGCTCTAATCAGCCGAGCGATTCTATTAGTGGTACTGCTATCACCACCTGCTGGTCACGTAACAATGGGGGGACCATGCGTTGTTATTTTCCATTCATTACAAATAAGAGAGAGGGCGTCAATGCACACCCAATGGCTTGTAACGAATGAAAAAGAAGAGCATGGATGTGTTGTGGGTGTGTTGTGGGTGTATTGTGGGTGTATTGTGGGTGTATTTATTTGTTACAAAATTTCGTACTTTTGGGCATGTTAATGTGTGTTGCTTAAAGTGCGAGTGCCCTAGCAGGAAGGGGAATAACAATCAAATTATAATTGTGGCATAATAACGAGATGTTATTGGCCAGGGAATTTCTAGAGATATGAGCATTTTTAGGTTACGGCGAATGGGAATACAAAATGCAAGAAGGCTGCTTATGGAAGTAAGCAGGGGAAGTTAATGAACTAATCAAAGATTGAAAATATAAATGGTAGCATGGTTGTTGCTGTTATCGTTTTTGGGGGCTATTGTATTGTATTATTAATATTGTTATTATTTATCTAATTATTTATTTAATTATTTAATATTGACATCTCTCCTAATACTAATGCTGTAATGCAAATGACCAACTCGTGCCACTCACTTCATATAACCACCTCATTATCCCCTGATCGATTATCTAATGCGCGGGAAATGTCATTTTGGTTATTACAAAAAGAATAAATTGAGGATCGTCAGACAAACAAATGTAAAAAAAAAAAAAGCTTCGTACTATATGTATGTTGATGATGATGATTCACTGGGCGATCACGTCGGGTCGCACACTTTCATGCAACTCTCTCTCACTCACTAGCGTAAAACGCAGATCATTAAAAGAGAAACAGGAGAGGGACGCTTTATACTTTTTTCCCGTCGAAATGAAATGCAGTCACGTAATCAAAATATCGTTTCCTATTGATCTGTGCACAAACTTTGAGCGAAATAAACAATCACTATTTCTATTACTTTTGTCATGAATTAACGTTAAGATTCATCCCCAGATTCATCCCCAGATTCATCCCCACACCCCTCTCCCCCCCTCTATGTCATAAGCGGATAAACGGTTAAGCGCACATTTAATTTACACAAGAATGCTTACAGATGCTTCCGTGGCTTGCTACTGTAAAGCATTATCTTGCATGTTAGAAGAGACAACTTTGGTCTCTAGATTTTCCACGATTGAACGTCGGACGAACGTGAACATAATATAAATAAACCTATCAACAAACAAACAAACAAACAAACCATGCAAGTCATTAAATATTAAATTTGATGTACATTTCCAAATATCCTGCATACTACGTCCTTCTTATCTACATTACACTTTTAGAAGAGTCAACTAAACTTGCAGTTGGATTTGAAATTTACTGCACATTCAAACACCCCGATGAAACGTTGAACGGTGTTTGAGAATTAGATTGGCATGAATAACACTCTAGTTTTTCTATCCGAACTTTCCCCTCCCCCTTATCTCTGAATTAGATAACGAACTAAATTATAAATATAAATGAATATGTTTAAGTAATTATATCGGAAGATCGCGTAACAGTTACAGAAACGGGTCCACAGAATATCGTTTTATTTATATTTGTGTTGTGGTCGATTACAATCAACAGTTTACATAAAATGGTCAATAAACGCACTTCCTACGCACTGTCCCCCATCGAACAAGATTTGCTTTGGCCACATCCCATGCAATAGCTTGGTCTCGAACGAGACAATTCACTCTTGAATTATTTTGCTTTCCCCAAATCTGGTCTCGAACGAGATAATTCAAACTTTACTTGCCTTCCCCACTTTTGAACAGACGAGATGATTCACCCTTAACTTTACTTTGAACAGCTGTCACTGCTTTCTTTTAGCATAAAGTGTCGCATTACTCTTGAAAACAAATCTCGAATTAAGATTACTTTTTTTTTTTCGCCTGGAATTTAATTTTTACGTTTGGTGTGTCTATACACAACCCTTGTTCATGACAGACAAAGTCTTTGTCACCGTCACTGTCCAAAAGTGGAATTATTCTTAGCCAAATTTCTATTCAGAATTGAGACCCAAAGTCTTTGTCACCGTTTCTGTCCAAAAGCTATTCTTAGCCAACTTTCTATTCACAAGTGGTTGGAAGAAAAAGGAAATTCTTATTTCTACCGGTCATGAGAGCAATTATATAATATGCCATTAAGGAATGTATGACATGCGTTATGTGGCAGGTGAGCATTGGACGTGAGTTAGAGATTATAAACGCGCTGGTTCAACGTTCACACCACGTAATAGTAAGCATATCATATCCTTCGAAAACAAAGTTTCCATTACCACTGCCAGAAAGCCCAACGCAGACAATATTTATAATGGAAACTAAGCATTTTCCCTCTTGTGCTATTTCAACTTGAACGGTTTCAAACGTTAACAAGATCATAAAGTTGTATAGTCTCCAATTCAATCTTTACTCTCGTCTTTTTCGAATGTCTCTTTCATTGAGACCTTGGCCGATCCGCGCGGCATAGGTCTAGGCTGAGTAGTGTGTGGCTTCCAACCGATCATGTATATTACTTGGAATGTCGCGGAAATGTTTCCATCAGAGTCACCGTAGAGTTCTTTATAGACCGCCGATGCTGCGATAAGATTATCGCGTGTCAAGTAGGGGCGTCTGATAGATAGATGACGAATTTATATTGGAATGGAGATACGTTCATCACAAGAAAAACTGCTCGATATATATATAAGACATATAAATACCTTGCAATGACAGCGTTACTTTCCCCCATGCTCCTCAAATCCGTTATCAATTCAAACATGGACGGATAATTAACGACAATGTCATCGACATCGATGGTCGTCAGGTTGAATCCTGCGCGAGAAAGAAGGGATCCTACATCTCGTACGGCTGAAAAAAACGAGGGGAAAATTATGTGCGAGTCCAACCACCGGGAAATGAAAAAGGCATTCGAGGTAATTACTTGTCATTGGAGATACACGCGGTGAGAGTCCTCCTTCGCGCTCTTGTTCTGTCAATTGGAGTGATGTGCTAAGTTGTGATGGTGTTGGTCGCGATTAGTCGATTCATGTTCATTTACATTTGCGTATCACGAGCCTGTACGGTGCAGAAATAAGCAAAAATAGGTCACTATTTGATACACTACCGTAGTTCAAATAGCGTATCTCCTCCAAGTATGGCACAAATAAATGGGCTATCTGGTTTCAAGGAACGTCTGATCTGAATTAATGCACCTGTATCGAACCGCGAAATGTTACAATTGCTTTTTAGGAACTACAAATGCTAGAAAATAAACCCGTGAGATAATCAATCATTCAAAAAGGATAAATTTGTGCACCTGGCAAATCATTAACCCAATGTAAAGACATACTGCTAACGACAGCATCCAAGGAATCTTCCTCGAATGGTAAAAACTCCTCATCAACTACTCTTCGTTCGACCTCGACTGTAACCAAAATCAGTAAATTCAATTATCCACCATTACAGCACAGCATATGGGTCACGAGGGCCATTTACATACCATTGTATTTGATATCTTTGTCCCGTTCTAACATCTTTCCTAAAGCAATTTCATTTGATATATATGTATACATATATAGTAAATGAATGCAAATTCGGATCAGAAGACTCGAGTTCTAACATTCTAACATACTTGAAATATCGCACATGATTATCTTTTGTGCCACGTCTTTCTCTATGAACTTTTCAATGTGCCCGCAACCGCTTCCCAAATCGACTATTGTATTAAACTTGCGTTTTACATCCTACAAATTGGTGTCTATTACCGAATGCATATATACATATAGCGAGCTGATTCGCTCTCAACAAAACTACCTCTCAAAACGTTCTTTCGATACCAACCAATAGTCTGTCGACAACTCTTTCGGCAACTTCGTCCTTTAAATAATCGGCCACCCTGCTGTTCTCCTCGTCTGCTGCAGCACGGTCTCGCTGTCGTTGTTTTGCAGCACGATCAAATATCCTAAATTCCGCAGGCGTGCCCGATGACGTTGTTGAGGCATGTCGAAGAAGAATCCTAGGAATAATTAAGCGGGTACGATGCATGATGATTTGTTTCAAAGATTTCAGAGTTCATTAGCTACGCCAGAATCGATTAACCAATCGCATGAACGTGATGCAGCATTTATAAATTGTTGCCCATTATTTAGTCGATTTGGGGTTGTACGCATACAACGTATACAATGGCTACGAACCGGAGTGTTACTCCGGGCGAATTAAATTATAAATAGGTAGGTTAAGAGCTGCTAGATAATATGGTCAGACGAACGTAATTAAGTTTGTCTAAATAAAGCATAATGAAATTCTCGGTTAAGGGCCTTACCCAATCAATTATAGACAAGAAGGACGACTATAAAGACAATACTACTATTGCAACCTTACCAGCCTTTGAACCTCACCCACCCCCTCCACAAAGTGACTACACTTTTTCCTACAGCATGTCTAGCTTCGCATATGAAGGCCCCAAGAAGGATCCATTTAGTTGGACGGCCGGTTTGACCGATGAAGACGACGACGACGACGGTTTCACTCCAGCAGCACATCGAGTGCATTCGAGGAGGAATGCTCCTACCCGCCATGTGCGCTCCAAATCAGCTACAAGGAAGCATTCGAAAGAAAAAGGTTCCCATTCTCGTAGTAGAACTGATTATGATGATGATTGCTACGATGACTCGAATAAGTTATCCGCAGATGTCAATGGTTCTTATTCACGCCCTAGAACTGCTTACGATTTCTATGACAGCGTGAAAAAGATATCCACAGATGGCGACAGTCCACGCCCTAGAACTACTTACGATTACTTTGAGGACATGTCGAAAAAGTTATCCGCAGATATCGACAATTCTCATCTACGTTCTGGAACTAGTTATGGTTTTCATGACGAGTCAAAGAAGATCTCTGCAGAGGGATACAGAAATACGGGCATGGTAGTAGTAAAGGATGTGTATGTTGCACCTGAAAAGCCATCCACCCGTCTGTACGATAATGATGGTGATCGTGATAATGATGATAAACAACTGAAAACCGCTGAGGACAGTTATGAAACCAATAACACTTATTATAGTCCTGAATCTGCATACAATCCAACAAAGACTTCATCGAAAACGAAATCCTACGGACCATATCCCTCATTAGATTCCTCCGACTTTTCTTATTCTCCCTACCCCGATCCCCAAACTTCTTACAATAATCCATCAATTAGCTCAACAGGAACAAGTGCAATGCCTTTCCCAGTTCCTAACCCAATTATAGACCATGACTACAACATCGAGCCACCACCACCATATTCAGAGATCGCATTCTCCCATAGCGGTGGAAACGGCATCAGACAGGAACGTTACCCTGACGACACCAGGCAGGAACGTTATCCTGAAGACAAGAAGGATCGTTACGGTGACGATACCAAGGGACGTATCGGTGGCGATACCAAGAAGGAACGTCGTCGGAGACCACGCCCTATAACTGAATTGAGAGAGTGTGAAATATGCTGTTCTGAGAAAGAATTAACGGAATTTAAACCAATAACAGAAAAGTGCGCACATGCCGCTTCTGTATGTTTGCGTTGCATCGAACTACACATCAGACATGAGGTGTACGACAAAGGAAAGACAGAAATCAAGTGTCCTGGCCTTGATGGAACGAAAACTTGTCAGGGAATAATGGATCACCACAACTTAAAAGAGTTTGCTACTGACGATGTATTCAAAAGGTAAGTATTTGATTTATTGGGGAAAGAGTAGGGAAAAGAGATTTATACGACTGACTAATTTTATGGGGGGTTTTCTTGTTCATAGACTTGATCAGCTCAAGACCACTTACGCTCTTGCTGCGATACCTGATTTCTACTGGTGTAAAAACCCCGACTGCCAATCAGGACAAATACACAGTGACGGAGGTAAATATCATATAGTTTGCATTATTTCGTTATTAGCATTCTTTTTCATCGTTGGTTTTCCCACATTTCTCATTTCTCACATTTCTCACATTTCTCACATTTTTTCGCTTGCAACGATAGAACTCGCTCCAATAATGACATGCCAGGCTTGTAACGCTAAATCTTGCGTAACTCACGATTTGCCAATTCCACAAAATTCGACCCGCTGTCTACAATGCGATCCTATCCCCCCAGAAGCAATTGAGCCTCAACCAGCCCAACCTACTCTCACACGCAAACAGTTGGCAAAAATAAAGAAACAGGAAGAGGATAGACTAAGAAAGCTTGCCAAAGCTGAGCAGGCAACAAAGACATTCCTCAGTAACAAGACAAAATCGTGCCCCAAGTGTGGTACCCGCATTCAAAAGAATGGCGGATGTGATCACATGACTTGCACTGTGCCCTCTTGCAAACACGAATTCTGTTGGAAGTGTTTTGCAGACTATAAGAAGATTTTGCAGGATGGAAATGAGTTTCATGAAACATCATGTAAATACTATGCTCCTCCTCCTCCTCCAAGTTAATGGTCGTATTTTATTTGTATCAATTGTATCATACTTATTCCAAGCCTGGTCATGTTCGAGCAACGTTGACGTTGTCTGTAGAGAGGCATAGAGTTTAAATATTAAAATTTATTATGTGCTTGTCTATAACGTGGCTAGTCATGACTGTGCTAAATTAATACATAATTTTTCAAGACAACAAATTTCACGCGAAAGAACTATTCAAATTAGTTGGCCAATATAAAGATGTAAAGAATCATTAAATCAAAGCTTATTCAATCAGATATAAACTATAAACAAAAACCGCGAACGATCAAGTGTATATCTCATTTCCGTTATTGTGTTTCGGAAACCACGGATCAGATATAATCGCGTTCAATGTTTTATTTAGACAGATGATGTAAATATTACAAAATATAGTTATGGTTGTGATACAGTTTTAAATTTCCAATGTGAAACTCTTTGATGTGCAAATTTAGCATGCTGTACACGTATTGCAATACCGTTCGCCAATCCTTGTCTGAGTTATCTTTATATTTGTGATATTAATAGCCTTGTCCTATAGAACCCAACCTCTCAATGGCAAATTTATATTTAATTATTTCTCTTGGCTAGAGAAGACAATATTTCTGTACACGCAATACATGATCTAGTTTTATATTTGAAATAGGTTAATATTATTTTCCATTAATCATTGGTTTAAATATAGCTTGTTAATACATAGAGATGCATAAATATAAAAAATATTATTACTCGTTTGTAATAACAAAAAGGGTCTACCATAGTGCTACAATACTTTCAGACCAAAGTTCCCATTAACATTAAAATCAATTCTTTTTAATCTGGGGCAGACTGCAACAAAACCAGACAAAGTGAACATTCTATTATGTGACATAATGAGAGGCTGATTATGATGTGGCTGTAAAATTGACCAGTGTGACTGATGACGTT